GTTTTAGCAAGACCGCGTTGCTCGATGTTTGAATCCTCTCGATCCATCGCCCGTGAAGGCTGGCATGAGAATGGGGCTGTGAAATGTTTCTCATGGTGTTATGGTTAATAATATGGAAGGGCAAGAAACAAGGCAGCAGGAACAGTGGGAAAATAATAATTTTTATTAAATAACTTTTAAAAATCCCTCTTCGTTATCCTGATTGGTGGCGTTACCTGTTGCGCAAACGCTCAAACGTTTAGCCAAATAGTGCCAGTCTTTCTCCGCTAGATGGCATCACAAAATCAAGTATGGCTGTCCATATTCCCACATATGCATCCATGCTTTACCTTTCCCATAATTGGTGGCGCCCCCCATTACAAGAACGCTCAAACTATTAGCCAAATAATACTGAATTGTTTCCGCTAGATGGCGTCAAAAAATCTTCTCTCTTCGGCCTTCCCATGCATCTAATATTCGCCTCTCCTATACCTAGTCTGTGATCATGGCAAAGTTTTTTAAAGATCTCTAGAATTCCAACGACAGTACAGTAATTTTGAGATGTTAAAGATTACAGTCAATGTCACTAAATATAGCGGCATAGATAGGGTATCGTCTATTTTTCGTAATGTCTATTAAAAAGCGCAACTAAAGTAGGCAAACAGGCGTTGTTTATGGACGCGTAATTAATATTTTAACGAAGTAACTGTCATTGGTGGAATTATCTAAAATGTTGCCACATTGTACACGAAAAAACATTTAGGGGAAACCGTCATATCATGACTAATCTTAAATAGCAAGGTATTTTATAACAGCGATACCTGTTACAATGCTTAATTAATTACAAGGACTTGTATGAGACGTACACAACTAGAGATCGAAAGATGTTTATAGTGGGATTGACAGGTGGAATAGCCACTGGAAAAAGTAGTGTTGCCGCTATTTTCCGTGAATGCGGCGTACCTGTCATCGATGCCGATCAAATCGCGCGGAAAGGTTAGAAATAAAATTAAAAATATGTTTTTTATCTGTGAAGATAACATGGCATTTATATAATTGGTTAAATTGTTGTATTTCAGGATGACTTACATGTTTCTATCTTTCAGAATTTACTCTTTAATTCTTACTATTGTTTCCAAGACAAACGAAAATATAAACAATAATTATAAATGTTTAATTTGTGTATTGCAGTTGTGGAACCAGGAAAACCAGCATGGCACAAAATACAAAAAGAATTCGGATCAGAAGTATTCTTAGAAACGAAAGAACTTAACAGAGCTAAGCTCGGCGATTTAATATTTAACAATGTAGAAAAGAGAAAAAAGTTAAATGCCATAACACATCCACATATATACAAAGAAATATACTGGCAAACATTTAAATACTTTTTACAAGGTCATCAATTTATAGTCATGGATTTGCCATTACTCTTTGAAACTGGACATATGTTGAATTATTTGCATAAAATAATTGTTGTGACTTGGTAAAATTCTGAAAATAATACGTACAAAAGAAACTATTGTAAAACTTTTAAAAAAATCTGTATTTGATTTTAGTGAGGAGGATTTACAGTTGCAGCGACTTATAGAAAGAACAGGGTTTACAGAAGCTAAAGCAAAATTGAGAATTGCTGCACAAATGCCATTGGACAAAAAAGCAGAAATGGCAAACTTTGTCATTGAAAATTCTGGCAGTGAAAAGGATACTAGAGAACAAGTTATTAGAGTCATTAATGTGTTAAAGTCTTCCAAATATCATTGGAAATTGCGTCTTCTAATTGGATTCTGTTGCACTGTTTTACTGGCAGGTGTTTATTGGTTGAGAAACAGAGGTGTTCGTTCATTACCAACTGCAGCATAAATTTACATGTTTATGCAATACAAATATCATATGCAATACAAGTCAATAACTTACTTCAATATATTGTACAGCTATTTTAACATATTTAGAAAATATTAAATCCGATGGTACTACTTTCTCAGATATTTTTATATTTGTTTTTAGTATTTAAGAGTTATGATTCTGTGATATACAGATGTTTTATCTTGTTTTCTAAATGAAAAATATTTATGTTAATAAGAGATGGTAATTAACTTCTGTTTTATGTATTTCAATTAATAGAGTGCTATTAATTGTTTTAGATATGTTCTACAGAATTTATACAAAAACAAAGTTTTGTATATCTAGTTACATCCAGTACACAAATATGAAAGTGATCATAATAATTAATACGACGGGTGATTGTATAATAGTAAATAGGAAAATTTAAAAATGGAACAATTTAGGGAGTTACATAGGATTGAATGAAAAATACATATACGCTTAAAATCGTTTAAGTCACTTACAGTATCGTATGTCAAAACCATTGTTTTGCATGTAAAGAATCATAGAACTATTATGGTGGAGTAAGCAAAGTGAAACAGGAAATTGTACATTTTACCTTTTGTTAACTTTTGAAATGAAATAAAATGCTTAAAGAAAAAAATAAAAACCCATTTCAATAAATATCTTACTATATTAATTGTTACAAAAAAAAGAGAAAAGAAAGAAAAGAAAAAAGAAAAAAAATAGGATTATATTTCGCTAAATATTCAAGGTAAGAAGGACATCTATCATTTGAATAAAATGCTTATTAACGTAAAATTATACATAAAAGATTATACATTTGTATGCATATATAAAATACAGGAGTACTTATTGCTCAAATTTCTTATACTAAATTACGCAAAATATATACATATGTATCAACCCATGACTGATAACATGACTTAAAAACAGTTATACGTTTATTTGGTTTATAGGATGCACATTACAGGTCCGCGTGCCTGATCATTACATTTTATATGGGTCAGGTTTCAATTCTTTTTCTATTCCTTACTTGTCATTACCTGAACCCAAAACCGTTTTATTTAAGTAAATTGTAAAAACACAAAAGACCACAATAAGTACTTAATTTATGAAAATATAATTATCTTATAACTTATGTATTAAAAATGGAAGTACAAAAATGTTTTCGAGAGGACAAGGAAGCAACAGAATACTATTTACAGCGTTTGCGTACAGAACAGTCGTAAGGTTCACCACTATTTTCAACGCAGCGGTAAACCTTAACCTTTGAACTTTTAATATATTTCATTTACATACTTCATCCTATTTTGTACTTACGTTAACATGTTATCCTAAACAAATAGCTTCTTATCTAAGTTCATGTAATTTACAATTTTTCTTCTTTATTAGCATCTGATTATCATTTCCTTTAATGATACAAAAAATTACCTACAAAATTATTTGTATTCTCTGTTGATGCTAAGACATTAAAAAAGAATAGGAGAATATCATTTTCCACCGTTTCTCACGTGGTTTTAGATCTGAATTCTCATTAGTCTAACTCTATACACACTTTGGACACTCATTACGTTGCACACGTTAATATAGACAATGTTTACCTTTTTATACGACAGAAACACTAGAAGGAACAAAATTACTGTATGTGAGAAGAAGGGCTTCAAACGAGGAATAATATCATTAAAGTCATACTGCTAAAAACAGTCATGATCGTTACGTTTGTCCTGTACGATAAATTTCTACGAATCCCTATGCAATGATCTATGGATGTAGTGTTCGTTAATTACTTGTGATATTCTCAGTAGTGGATCTCACTAAAGTATATGCTTTTGATCGGTTGTAGACATTATCTATTTTATACGTCTACCGTGTATATTCAAAAGAAACAATAGAAATACGACGTTAATAATTTGAAAGACTGAATGCAGTGTATATAACAGCATCCTTGACTCGTCGACGTGATTGAGGTATTCAATTGATGTTCCTTTCTCGCCTAGAATTTACTGCAACACGGGCCTAAGTTCTTGAGTCATGATGGGATAAGAAACGAGCGGTGCAGTCGCGCCGGATATCGACAGAGGCAAACTGGCTGGTTGCTGCGTGTTCGGTGGCTGTTGGTTGGTCGCTTGCGGACCCGAACCGCTCATCGTGATCGTTTGCTGAGCCATCGTGACGATGGGTGGCGGTATGGATACCGGTGCCATCGAGACCGCTGCAATAGAAACAGGTGCAACTGTGGCTATACTTACAGGTACAGTCGCAACACTCGCGGTAACTGTACGCAGCGTCCCAGCTGCTACCGCTGCGTTCACCATTTGTTGCGGCGTTGGAGCTTGAGACGGTGGCACGGTGTTTGTAATTGTAACTGCCGGAACCGTAACAGCAGTCACATTGGCAGTCCGCTTCCCAGACATTCTCAACTGGGCATTTTGATCCAGGAGAAACTCGTTAGTCGCTGTCAAGTCACTAACCTGAATAATCGGTGCACAACAAAGATACATTAGTACCCCATAAACAGTTCCAATCTTAACCCTTTTGGAGCCAGAGCCGATATATTCGCATTGCAGGAGAACTCTATCTCAAAATAAATTTATAATACGTTATAAACGGTCTAATTTCATTACGAGAGAATTAAAGAAAATAGTTTTGTTTCAGCAATGCTATATTACCTATAACAACTACGTATTTCGGAAGAGATAATCCGTCCGGCGCTTACCATGTACCTTCGAATTATTTTTTCTTTTTATTATGTAATATTATTTATCTTGTTAAAAAATATATTGGAAATGCAAAGTATATACTTTGTGATAAATGGTCTATATAAAATTATGATGAAAAGATTACTTTTTGTATGCGCAAATACGTTTTGTAAGAGAGAACTCAACTTTTACTTTCTTTACGATCTTTCATACCTTTGTTATTTATATAATTTTCAATGAATATAGAAAAACTAGCGTCATTGTTTTGTTCTCTATTTCGTCCTTAATATACTGCTTCTTGAATCATGTAAATATTGTTTCTTGTTTGGTTTTTACGAGCATTCTTTTTCGCCTGGCACTAAAAAGGTTAAATACCAATTGAATAGAATGAATGAAATTAACCTGCTTCTTCAATTCTTCTATCTTCTTCCGTAGCAGCGCGTTCTCGTCCTCCAAAACAATCGCTCTAGCTTCGTTCCGCGGTATCACCGGATAATAATACCCTGGTGTAACCTGCTGTGCCGCGTGTTGACCCACCAGCGGCGAAGCTTCAAAATGAACGACGGTTTCACCGGATACTATTCGTCTCTTTGGTTCGGGAGGTCCTATGTAGTCGGGAGGATGCGAAGACGCGTTGTAGCTATTATTCGTCACTAAGTTGTGCTGATCTTCCATCTGCCAGTGAAAGCTGTGGAAAGATGTAAGCACATGTTAGAAATCAAGAACCCAGTACCGAATCGTGTCGGATTAGAGCTCGAGTTATCTCGGTAAACGCGATTCGCGTTAGAAGATAAATCTTCCGATCGTTTAATCAGGAACACGCGCCAGAAGCATCGTAATCGGCACGCCCAATGAGTTGCATAAGACGAGGATTAAAATGTTGCTTTGCAATCGCGACCCCTTCTTGTATAAGCGGTTCCATTGCAACAATAATAGTCGACGCAGTCCTATTACGACTGAAACGCTACATTTCCTCATTCATAATGGTGAATGAGCGTGCCGCGTTACATAACGCAGGCTCTCTATTTATACGCTGATACTCATCCTCCACTTAGTCAGCTCGAAATCTATTTGGTATTCCAACGAGTACGGTTCACCGAACAGCCTCTTTTCCCCGGAGCATGTACGTTACCAGCGGTCGAACAAACAAGCCAGTCTAGTTACGGTCTAAACTGTTTACACACTTACTTCCTATCCTCCTCGTATCTACGGTTCTCCCCGTTACTGGCACCATTGAAATTGTGCTGCGGCCTGGACGCGCTGTGATGAGAGACCGTGATCAAGTTCAGCTGCGGCTCCTCGCTCTTCCAGTGCCTGAACTTGCAGTTGCTCCGCTGGCAGCTGCCCTTGATGAAATCTTTGCACATAGGGTACTCGGACTTCTCATTGTTGTTTTTCAGCCTAGTTAATATGTGGGCGGGCAGCTCACCCGTCGCTCTGAACCGTTTCTCCTCGCTCTCCGTGCAATGGAGGAACTTGCAGCCGGGCCAGTTGCACATCCCGTTCTGGAAGTCGTGGCAGAACGTGTACTCGTCTACGGGGTCGTCGTCGGACCGTTCGTGCAAGTACTTGCAACGCTTCCCTCTGTGGCAGACGTTCCGCAGGAAGTCCCTGCAGACGCGGGTGGGCGACGCATCCCCGGTTGCCGCGTTCGGCGCACCTGCCGCTGTCTTGCCCACTTGCTGCTGCTGCTGCTGCTGCTGATGCTGCCCGGCGATCGGGTTCTCCGATTTTTTTTTCAGCTTCTTCATCGATGATACATTGCGCTCGTACCTCGCGGGGAATTCTTAATCGACCGGCATTACGTTATCGCGTTGCACGAGTTATCAGCTGCAACTAGAAAAGAAATCATTCGGACACTGTAATGCGGGGCTACATTCGGGTGTATATCGAGAACACATAGATAAAAGGTAGTCGACAAAGATTTCGAAGGAAATTTTCAATTGTTTTAGAGATCATTGAGAATAAATCTAAAGGTAATGTTCGATGATGGATTCTATATTGTGGTTTGATACGGATAAACGTTTCCTGGTTATATCAATTTTTCAGTTGACCGTTTACTTCACTGATCGGGCTGACATTGTAGCAATGGGAGAAAAGAAAAGAAAAAGAAGGAAATGAATGATCAGTGAGCTTGATGGTTAGGTGTTTTCTCTGTATCGATTATGATTAAATATGGACACCCAGGTGAAGACAGTAAAAGGCGTTTCCGTTAAGTTAATTTTTATTTTTTTTATATAATGACTATTACATGGGTAGTAAGATTATATCAACAGTTGTTATGTACAGTATTATCTTATTTGTATATAAACCTTTCTCGATCTTGGTATAATTACAATCTACCAAGAAAGTAACACCCATTACCGGCTGGCCAATGTTCTTTATTGGGAAATTGATTATACTTTGTCATCCTCGCGTTTGGATCAATATTTCTTACATTGGAACGGGGCAGAAATAGATCGAGCAATGGCACTGTTACTGAACTAATCAGATTTGAGAACGTACGGACAATTTCAATTGTATAAAAAGAATCGATAGAAAAGTATAGCTAGAATTCGTTTTTAGAAACTGACACACGTATCTAGGCCATTTCCTTGTGAAACCGTTAAACACACCGATCCGAACGAAAATCGTATTCGAAACATTCCCAATCCAATAGTGTCTCTTCCCTCTTCTTCTTCTTCCTCGGTTTTTTTTCGTTTAAAAAAGAGAGAGAGAGAGAGAAAAAGAGAGAAAAAAAACATTTATTAGGTCGATTGTACGGATATGCTTCTATTGTCATGCTACCAATGAAGAAAAGACACAACGCGAAGTCCTTCGATAATTCCTACCGCCACAGTCTCACACGCTGCCGCTAATTTATAAGCGACAAGAATCATCGAAGCACCGTGCGCATAACGAAACAGGAATTTGAGAAATAATTAGCAATAAAATACGTAGAACATCGAATGGTTTATCAACAAAGTATTTTTTTTTATATATTTATATATATATATATATACACAAAACAATAATATATATAAAAAAAAAGAAAAACAGTTGCGATTTAAAATCGATGAA